TTCATCCTTTATCCAAAAAAAGGACCTTCATCTTTCATCAAATAATAAATGTTTGTGCAGGAAAAACTCAAAAAGTTTAAGAGCTAGTCTTACCAAGTGGATCTCTTTTGTTGGTGAAAACAAGAATCCAATCCTGGGTAAAAAATTATTATTTTTTGCCCAGATTGCTTCCCCTCTCCCTGAGTCCCCACCTTTGACCTGTTTTTATCTGTCTTGGGAGGAAGCTGATGTATTTTTCCACTTCTATAACCCTGCAAATAAATAAAGCTTTATGGTTGAGTGCCCTCAGTTGCTCCCATCCAGCTTTATATCTCTACTAATTCCAAGAGAAATACAGTTTATACAGAGGAATCATATTTTTTGATAGATGATCTTCAACAAAATGTGGTCATTACTGTGAAGGCGCTTGCTATTTTGATGCATAGCTATCCTAATCGAGCGGCTTGGAAATTTAAATGAGGTTTAAATTTTTCATGTACCTGTTAATGTCTTGATTTCACTATGTGAGCTATGTACAAGTCTCAGCAGAGTTAGCACAGTGCAATTTCTATCATGTCCTTTCATATAAATGTTGCAGATGACTTGATTCTCTAGGGCCCTTCGTGAGCATCTGTGGTAGTAATTAATTATGTAATTTATCATTAGAAGAAGGTATGGAAGAGATTTAAGATCTTGTATTAATCCCTTAATTTGGAATTGAAATTAAATGTTTGCTAAGTGTATAAAGTAAATTGTCCTGCAGACAATCAGAGGTGCAAATTGTTATTGTTTAGGCCTACCCAACTATGCATCATGGTTGCTGACAAAGCTTTTAGCTGTTAATACTTTCCACTTTGTGTGCTTGAGTTGACTCATGCTTTATCTTGACTCAGTAACAAATGCAGCAAATTGTTATGAATTATCTTTGAATACCCTCTCTAGTCTAAACTCTTTAGCCAATTTATAAAATATGCAGAAAAAAAAATCTGTATTTTAGAAATGTACTCAGACATTCAACTGTGTAGTTTCTTTCTCTCTCTTTTTTGTTTCCTGAAAGTGTTTTTGTTTATGTTTCCTCATAATTTGCAGATTTATTCAGAGTATTTGTTAATTTTTTGTTTTAGAGTCTATATGTCTCTCAGTAAAGCTGCATTTTATCTTGCTGTTTAATTCACCATGGAAGATTTTGTTTTGCAAGTCAGAACTTCTATCAGTACTATCTGATTTAAATACAGTTTAGAATATTCTAAAATCCATATTATGCATCTGATTTGTTCGGCAACCAACAACAACAAACTTCTAATTTAAACAAATGCATTTGCTTGAATAAACTTTAGAAGATATAAAAGTAAAAGTAAAAACAACTACCTGCTGTGAAATCCTGTTTCCTCAAACTGTACACGTGTTGTACCATAGAAACACCTAGATGTGAAGGTTTTCCACACACCTAGTTGAATATGTTCAGGCAGGGTCAACCAGAGTGCACATATTTCTGATAGAGCAAGCAGATGATCAATGGATTCAAAAACAATTATTTCAGATACAGAACAGAAAGAGTGGCAATGGACCCAAGAGAATCACACTCACTCTGACCTAAGCTGGAAAAAGAGAACATGTTTATTTAGAGTTTCCTTTGACTTCTTTTTAAGGCTCTGGTAAATGTGTTGCAATATGCAAGCAGAAGATAATAAAGGCAATGTTTTTCAATATGCTGCTGTTAAATAAACTTTTTAACTGCCAGATATGAATAGTTATTTTGAATCTTCAGGGTGAAAACTTTGTCATATAAAAACATATCAGTTTGAATTATGAACTGCAATGGATTCTTTGTGTTCATTACTTGGAAAAACACCATTTTATTGAGTTATAGAGGAACACCTCAGTAAAAGTAAATTTTAGTAATTAATTTTAGAGGTATGTTTCAAGTGTTTATTTTTGTAAAACTGGATGACTATGGTTCAGTCTTCTCTGAATTCAGAATATTGCTGAAGACAAAACATGCAAGAGGTTTTACCACAACATTATTTGGAAGACAAAAAAGCCCATTGCTAAAGTAGTTGGGTGTTCAAAAGTGATTGATCCAATAATATTAATAGAGAGTTGAGAAGAAGGAAAAAGTTGCACATGCAATAGGGATATTGTGAAGGGCCTTCATAAGTTTGGAGCGGTTCGGGGCTGCAGTTCACATATAGTGAACTGCAGCTGTAGTCAGTAACTGCAACCTTGAGAGGCATGTTGGGAAAAATCCAGATAAGGATTTGGAGGAGCTTCACGCAGAGTGAACTGAAGCTGGAATGAGTTCATCAAGAAGCTCCTCCCCCTAAGGGACAGTACATGCAGGCCAGCAGCCAAATAAAAATCCTACACATGGACCACAAATGTCACCTTTCTCGTTTCAAGCCTCTTGAACCAGAGACTGTACTGTTGCTTAGTGAAAATAAAATCCTCTTTTCAAATAAAGAGGCTGAAGGAGCGGTGGAGAAACACATAACCCGTTGAAGGTCAGTGTGAAGTTTCCACAGTCAGTAGTGATTTAGGGTGCAATGTCATCTCCTGGTGTTGGTTTGCTGTGTTTTATGAAGTCCAAAGTCAGAGTAAGCTTGTGCCTTTAGAGAACTTGAGGCTTGCTTCTGCTAACAAGCTTTATAAAGATGGTGACCAGACCAAACACTTGGAAAATTGACTTTCATCAAACGGAAGAGATTTCTTTCACTCTGCTATTCTCTCTTTACCTGTTAATTTATAACACATTTAGTTTTTGTGCCAAAAATCTAACTGTGCTCGGTGTTATAAATTCACACACAAATGGTATGTTGCATTAGGTGTGTGAGGTGGAAATGTGTGCCGCTTGAAGGCAGATGTTAAGCTGCTGCTATGGTTTTCTTCCTTAAGAGGATATGTCATTTCTGCTCACGACTTGAAATCCCCTTGGTCTGGAATACCTCCACAAAACACAATAAACACTCTGCTATAAAGGGGATACGAAAAGAGAAAGAAACGAGGGTTAAGAAAAAGCGACGTGGATCAGTGCACCTGTGTGAACATCACTAGACTCATGGCACTTAGGCAAGCCTCTCCCCTCTGTCCTCTTACAGGACCCATCACAGCAGATAAAAGCGAGACCGTCTTTGAGGATTCCCTTGGCATTATCCCCGCATCCTACATCAAGTAATTGAAAGACCTGAGAGTAGTGTGGGGGCTTGCAGAGATATGGAAAAGATCAAGGGTGACTAATTAAGTTGTGCTCACATTTACAAGTTTTATACAAGACTAAAAAACCAACAAAAAACATGCTTGTTTATGTGGAAGGTTAGCCTGGTAAAAAGCAGTCCTCTTGTACTACATTATTTGGTTCTGGGCTCTTGGCTATAGAGAAATGACTGCTTTTCAGAGGTGTTAACTGTTGCAATTTTAAATTTTACCCAATTGCTAGCATTTGTCTGTGACGTATGTAATGCACCAATTCGACGCTATGAAGTTTACCAGAAATTGCCTGCATGTAAATCACCTCCACAGCAAAGAGAGAAACCAGTCTGAACAAAGTAGTAGACAGTGTTAATTCAATATGTGAAAGCATGACCGAGTCAGACTGAACGCTTTGTTCAACTATGATTAAAACAGCACAGAGAAACAACTTTTTCGTTCAAAACATTTCCTTCTGGTGCAGTAGAAAATATAGCAGTAGGGAATCTAAGTGAAGGGGAGGAAGCCCAGACTGTGCTGTATGTAATGATTTATTCGAGTGACATCGCACAGGAAGGCAATGGCTAGGCAAGCGGAAAGTAGTGCCACTCAGAATCTTACATACTGTACATTCTCAGCTATGAATCTTAAAGCAATTTGGGATTTTTACCCAAGTTTTAGAACCAGTTTCAGACAGTGGACTTATTGCAAAACAAACAACTCCACTGAATTTTAAACTCAAGCTCTACCTGCACATGCTTAATTTTTTAGGCATGTGCAGCTAGCATGTGTCTCGACACTAATTCTGAGCTTTAGTGTCAGAATTATATATTTTATATGAGTAAAATATATCCATCCAACCCTTAGACATATAATTAAGAATATGTATTTCAAATCAAACAATGGGATGGTAGACACTTTAACAATATTGGCATCTTAACATGGGTTAAAGTTTTTACACCTGTTGTTTTGCCTGTATTTCATAAGGGGGGGATGAGAGGACCAATCAACTGGCTTTAAAAATAACTTCAAAATAACTCACGCAATAAGCACAATTACACAAGAACAGAACTGCTGTTTTGTTCAGTTTGTCTATGGTGATGAATGTCTGTTCCTATAAATAAACCTAATAAATAAATAAAGATGTTTAATTTTATCATTATATGGAATAAAATGTACAAATTGTCTTGTACTTTACTCTCCCTTTTAGTGAATCTGCTTCCATGTCTAATACATCATCATGAATGCTTATAATCAAAAAACAACCTAAATTTAACTCAGCGCCTGACTTCCAATATTGTCTCACAAAGTGAAATATTTACATGCATGCTTTTGTAGAAAACAGCACAGTGTCTCTATGAGTGTATCAACAAAAGGAGAAAGAGGGAATTGTATTTGACATGTTCTTATGTTTGTATTTGGTGGGATTGAACATAAGATCGTCCCGCATGCACTCAATGGATCAAAGTAATCTCTGTAAAATCAGTGTCACTGCACTGTCTGCATGCTATCTAATCCCCTTTGCCATTGCTTTTAATATGTTGTAGAGCAAATGTATTATCTACATTTCAGATGAATAGGAAAAAGATAGAGAGCTAAAGATTAGAAGAAAATACTTTTATACCTTCAACATTGATCAACTCCTCCAGAAAGGTTTCTCTCTTTGCTTCATTATCATTCAAAATCTGAAAAAATATGCAATGTCAAAACATAAGGTAATATTCTAATTCTGTTTTTAAGTCTATTTCCAGAAAATGTGTTTTATTGGGTCAAAGGTCTTGCCCTTTTATTCCTTTGTATCCCCATTCATATTCCTCTCTCACCCCTGTGGTTTTCCTCTGGGTGAAACCGAACATGGGTTCTCGTTATTGGTCTGGCTCCTCCCTCTCTTAGACTCGAACTGTTTTTCCTCCCTCCCACTTATGAGGAGAGCTCGGCAGTGTGCGTTAATCCCGGATTGCACTGCCCTGCCGTCTGCATCCCGTTGTTGCTGGGAGAGCATGGCACGGCTCCAGGACCCCTGTGCTCACACCAGAGAGGACTGAACGTAAAACAGAGAGAGACAGGGAGAGAGAGTTAAAAAAAAAAAGAGCTGCAGTTGGGCTGTTTTACGACTGTCACAGCTGGTTGAGCGCTGTGCTGCACTCAGAGTTGTTGAGTTTTGGGCACATACTCTCATACTAAAGGAGAGGAAAAGGAGAAGAATGGCAGGCAGTTTGTTGCAGTGCTGGGTGAATATTTAAAACAAGGGAGCCTTGGTGACCTTCTGGCTTTCACAACACTTACTGCCTTCTTCTACGCATTGCATCTGCCTTGCTCCTCATTTTGTGAAGGGATTTAACTTTTTGTTTTTGTAATTTTTTTTAACTTCATCTCTTGCTGTCTCATCTGGAACTCTTGTCTGACATGGAGTCCCCCACCAAAGAGATCGAGGAGTTTGAAAGTACTGCTCTGAAGTACCTACAGCCGGAACAAATAGAGAAGATTTGGCTCAGGCTCCGTGGACTGTGAGTATATTCAGTTTTTAGTCTTATTTTTATCAATATAAAGTCTGAGAGCAAAAGTGCATTTGAGCTAAATTTTGATTATTTTACCACAGCTTACACTAGTTTCATATGTATTAATAAAGCATGCAGAAATTGTCCGTGTTATTGGAAAAGATCAGCTTTAATTGATTTGAATGTTTGATTCCTTGTGAAAACGAACAAAACAGAAACGTTCATCAGTTACAAATTTACGCATTGTTTTTGTAATTAGACAAGAAGGAAATAAAAGCCCTTTGAGAAAGAATAAAAGGCTGATTAAAGTAAATGTGGTCCTTTTTTTTATAAAAGAACTAGTACTTTTTGGTTAGCACTGTGTCAAGATTATGTCAATGAATATCATGCTTTTTTTGTGGCGTGCTGAACAAACCTTGGATATTTTTACAAATCAAATGTCTGTCTCTCTGTACACTTGCTTGTCAGATATTCAGTGGACATCAATGATAATGATAATGATAATTTTCCTTTGAGTTTCCACCTATATTCCAGGATGATCAGAACATAATTAATGTGATCAATGAAATAAATATGGAAGGAATTTAGAGTAAACTATAAATGGCACGAGGTCAATTCATACGAGGAATATCTAACTATGCATCAAGAAAATAATGGCAGTGAAAAGATTGGCACTGATCATAAGAAATCTTAATCTTCATTGGATATAGCAACAATTGAAAATTTTTCCTTTAATATATGCTACAACTTGTTGCTTGAGACTTTCTACAGTTATTTGTATGTTGAAAGAGATGAAAGAAGCCCTGGTGTCAGTTGCAAATTTTGCTATGAAATGCAAGTATAACTTATTTTTCATTGAATCTAATGATTTTGGTCAGACAGAATAGTTTTAAGACTTCTAAAAGATTCACAACCTTACAGACACTATTTTAATATTTAGACCAATCAACCAACCAATCAACACCTTTATGGCCTTTCCCCCTGAGAAGGGAGGCAAGAAGCACTTTTTATGTAACTTAAGTGTGAATTTCCTTATTATCCATTTCTTGTTTCATCATTTTGACTCAGCAGGGGAGAGAGAGGGCATTGTTATGAGAAAGGTTGGCTTGTGAAAGGAAATGGCTAATGTTATTATGGGAAATCTGAGAGAAATACATTTTTTCTCTTCACCACGGGTGGTGATTATGTTATTATTTAAAAACAAACAGCTGAAGCACTGAGCTCCATTAAATCAAGACTAAAGCCCCACCTGTTTAGAGTTGCCTTTGATTAAAAAAACAGCTGGAACATTGGTTAATATGTTTGATGTATATTTGATGATGATTATTCTTGATGATGTTGGTGTTGGCATTTGACAAAGTGTAATATATGTTGCTTAATGTCTTGTTTTTATCATATAAAGCACTTTGAACTGTCTTGTGCTATACAAACAAGCTTGACTTTAGAGATAGCTGTTTGGGATTTTCACGGCTAGCTCCTGTTATTTGACTTGACTGTTACTCTTATAAGGTTTAGTTTTACAGTATTTCACTCGCTCTATGACTGGTAATAGCTTCTTCCCTCATGTGAAAAGCCCAGGATGTAAGTCCCGCTGTCATCATCATCTGCCACATTAAGTTTTCCTGGATGATTTCATTGTCTCTTCAATTCGGTCCCCATCATAACCATCTGTCTTTTTGGATAATTGATGGCTAGTGAGTCAGATGAAAGCAGTGGGAGCCAACACTTTTTTTATTAATTTTTTCTCTCCATCCGATATCAATTGTAGTCTTCTTGTTGCTCAAAAGCCTCCTGTTGCATGTCAGAGACAATATTAGCCTTTAATCTCATGAAGAGAGCCAACCCCCACAAATGTTGACACTTCATGCAGCGCATGTTGTGTATAGCGGGGAGAGAGCATTATGCAGTGTGTTTGAGTGTGGAGATCGGGAAAAGTTCCGCTGCCCATGTGAATGATAGAGAGTGGATGTGGGTTTCAGAGTGTATTTGATGGCGTGCTTATGCGCTGCCAGCTTATCCGTGGAGATTTGTTTGGCAGCTGTGTGATTTATGTGTGAGTGTTGCTATCACACCACAATCTCTGGCACAGTCTCTGGCACACCAATCATCTACAGAGAGACAGGTAGAGAATTTACTTCAGAGAGTTTTATCTCGGCTCCATGTTCAGTGAAGTCATCTAAAACCCGACAATGTCTTCTTTGCATGGGATAATACACACATTGCACATTTTCCGCCATTGCATTTGCACTTAAAATTCAAATGACTTTCTGTTATTTTAAGTTAATGAAAGAAAAAAGAAATGCAGAGATTACTCTAAATGACCCTCACTGCCTGCATTTACTAAGTTACAGAAAACAATGAATTCTTTGTTTTTACTGTCTAACATGTGACTTAAACACATAAGATGTGCATTTATATAGCATTAAATTGCCATAAGTGGTAAGCATAAGGTGTGTTGTGGTCTCAGCTGAATTGAAGTGTACACAGTTGATAGATTAGAATACCCTCAATTTTCTTTTTTTTTTACATATTTAATAGGCATGCGCTGGTATGAAATTATGATTGTATAATAACTTCAGGTAAAGAGGCCTTTCTCCTTCAGCCATCATAAAACTTGCAGAGTTGGTAGCTATTCAGAGGTGTGTGTGTGTGTATAGGTGTGTGTGTGTGTGTGTGTGTGTGTGTGTGTGTGTGTGTGTGTGTGTGTGTGTGTGTGTGTGTGTGTGTGTGTGTGTGTGTGTGTGTGTGTGTGTGTGTGTGTGAGACACTTCAGCTGCACATGACCGATAGGCTTTGACCTCTACTTTGTCTCTGAACAGATATAAAAAACACTTGCATTGCAGTAATGTTATGATGGAGAATTTCACTGTATCTAGGTCACACCTTGAAATGTAAACATGTTGGATAATTACTGCATGGGCAGTTATTTTTCCAATGGCCACAAGTATAACCCCAACTGATGAAATAAGCAGCTTCTCATTTCTCAACCATGTTGAAAGACACATTCTGTGGTCGTGGGAGGGATGTTAGTCTGTTTAAGAAAGGCCAATTCATTGGAATGCATCAAGCACACAAAACATCTAAGGACAAAACAGAAACTAACAAAATTGGGTTATAAAATGTCCAACAGATTGTAATAAAACTAGAAGGTAAGTAGGAAACCATTATCTGCGAGAAAGAAATATGATTGGAAGAAAATCCTGGATGATTGTTGTTGGTATCACTTTGGTGAAATCAAATTGTTTTCTTATACCTGGTTATTCATAGCTGCATTGTTGTGTCTGGTGTCTTCACCATTGCCATCTGAACTTGGTCATATCTACAAAAGCAAATATTAAAAACATAATATTAAATGTTTGCAACAAGCTCAGATATAACAGGCAGGATTGGACAAGGACTCAATTTAAAAGAAAGAGGGAAAAAAAACTCACACCTCTTTCCCAAGAGGTTCAATCAGTTCTCAAAATAGGCATTTAATTTAACCAAAGAATATGTTCACTGTATTTTATTATTCATTTTGGTTAAAACAAAAGATCTGAACAAAAAAATTATCAAACACCATAAACAGCAGTCATTCACAGACTCCACCCTATGATGGGATTTAGTCATAAACTTCAGTTATTACAGTATATCTATTTCGCACCAATCTTACCCAATGCCCTTACTATGCAAAGACGTTGGGATAAAAGCTGATGAAAGCCCTTCTTAATGACCCACAGAGAAAACTGAGTAAAAGGGGTGACAGGTTATATTTTAATGTTGCAGTTTCCCTTCTAGATTCATATCCTTCTCATTCATATCTCAGCATAAAACTCCTTCTCTTCTCGATTCTAATTTTCTTTGAACAGTCAATGAGACACGCATCTGACTGTGACAATTAATCTGGTGTTAATTTTAATTGCTTGATGGCCCACAGAAGATTGATTTATCTTTCTTTTTCACCACAGGGGAGCTTTTACAATTTCTCTGGGGAAGGATAACCTCCTTAGCTTGCAGTTTCACTCCAAGCGCTAAAAGGTTAAGACAGAAAATGACTGGGAAACAAATCAAGTTAAGTGCTGTGAATAGTACCTGACTGGAATTTAGATCCATGTCTGCAGTCATAAGGACAGTGGTGGGTTCAACCAATATATCCCCTAGTAATAACCCCCTCCCAGTTTCCTCTTACCCATCGGTCTTTATTTTGCTGTCATGAGCAAATATGTAATTGTAAATGCATGTGAATCATCTAGAGTCATGCTGTTAACATTTTGTGGGGCTGTGGGTGGTTTTAGGCCAATGTTAGAAAAAGTGATATGAGTTTTGGTGTGTTAAGATGTGTGTGTGTCATGGTAAAGTCAGCTGGGTGTCCTGGGGGGCAGGTGTGTGTGGTAAGCATGCGTTCAGATTTTATTTGCATATCATTACGCCTCTCGTAATCCACACCTGCTTTACTGCTTGTAAGCTATTTGCAGCCTTTTGGGTGGAAGCTATGAATGCACTGCATGCTAAATTCGATAGTGGCCCATTTATAGATGTGGGCAAATTTGCTGGCATGCCTTCACAAAAGATGTAAAAAATTAAACAATCTCTTTAAGAACCTTAATCTTGCAAAAATACATCATCTCTCATCTGTAAAATCAGTCTTTGCTTCAATAAATTTTGTAGAATATTTCATGCAGTTAAACAAATGAAGATAGCATGGTGAAAGAGGTGGTCAGACTTGATACCCTCACAGATTCAAAGGTTCTAGTGCCAGATGCAACAGACCAACTCCAAACCAAAGTGTGTTATGACTTAGCTTTAATGGACAAAATGGAAAGCTAGAGATGGCTGCATGCATGACTCCCTGTTGGTGCAGTAACAATAAAAACCTGTTAGATTAAATTGTTAGGGCCCAAGCTTTCAGATCTATGCTGTTATATTTAAATTGAACAAGACGGTATTATAGTCTTGTTGAAAATAAGAGGAGGGGCATACACCATTGATAATGGGTCCCAAGACAGATAAATTGGTTAGTGTGATTAATGGTAAATATTATGACTCTAACCAGAAAGAGAAAGTTTGTGGTAAAAGCTTCTACACTTCCCTTTTTTAGTCCCTGTTATTGGAGCACCATTTATTGACATTAGGGAAAGCTTTACTAAGATCAGTTTTACATAAAAAAAAGAGTTTACAATTTGATAAAAAGTTAACTCCACTCAAAAAAAATTTTCCTCGTTTAGTAATATACAAATGTGGCAATACATTTTTATCATGGATATAAATATTATCCCAGCATCTTTGCGGCTTGTCAACATGCAATTTGGTGAATCCACTTTTACCATTATACTCCATGGTTCTATTTGGTGTTGCATCCACATCCTGGAATGTTGGCTGCAGTCTTACGAGTTTTACGATTTAATATTGTTAAAAAAGATTGTTGATCTTTTTAACAATATTGGCAACTATTGTCACAGGACCATATTCTGACTGAAAACGGTTTTGTAAAAGCTACCTTTAACTACGGAAATAGTTCTACATTATTATTCCCTTGCTCCTCAAAAAGCCCTGGCCCTCACAAGGGTTCATGCCCAGTCTGGTCCACAGAACAGTGCTGAGCTATTCATCAGCGTGTTTGTTCCCTTTAATTAGGTCCAAGAGCTCCAGAGATGAAGCAGAAATCTAACGAATTAACACCTTTATTGTAAAGTTTGTTTTGTGCATTTTTAAAATGTGGTCGATCTAGATTTGCAATTTTACTGCAATGATGGAATTCACTAAATGATCTGCAAGCCTGACACCCCCTTTGCCTTTGTGTTGATGTTTGATTATAGAAAAGATAAGTTTATTTTATTTACTCTGATGTTTATACTGAAGATTATTTCACATTAAGAATTTTTTGCTGCTTTTTTCACAAGTGAGAAAGCCAAACTTTTTATGATACACTCACATGAGATTGCAGGATACTACCAGGCAGCTTTACTTACTTTGACTATAATATCTTTCTCTTAAGTCTTTTGTGTGTTTTAAAAATAAATCAGTTGACGTTGAGTGGTTTGCATGTTTCTGATCTTCGTTTTGTCTGATGCTTCACTTTTTCCCCTATTTGTTTTCTTTGGCAGGCGCAAATACAAGAAGACGTCCCAGAGGTAAGATTTGCAACTGGGATTCTGCGTTCTCCCTCTTCGCCTCCTTCCCGCGCAGAATTTTTCTTCTTGCTCATCATCTTGGCCCAGTTATCCCCCTTTTTTTCTCTATCTTTCACAATATATCGTTCCTCTTCCCCCTTGCATCACCAGATCTCATGAACCTTCTCCCGTCATATTGCCTTCTTTATTCATTAATTATAGTTTCATTTTCTGTTGAGCACTTTTAGCCATCTTACAGAAGTGTATCTTAATAAAAGTGTTTATGATTGCGTTAGTTTTTATTCTTGCCTGTATTCATCCACATACATTCCCAGAGATGCTCACCTGCTGACAAAGTCTGGTCATCTGAATAAACTGACAACTACTCTTTCATTCACTCTGAGTGTTTCATTTTGATGGGTCAGCTTGTTGTTATTGCCAGATAACAAGCTCCTTAATGGAGGGAAATTATGGTTTCATGCTCTACTGTATAAACAATACGCACCACTTGAAAGGTTGATGAATGACAAGTGAAGATATTATCTTCCTCATTATGAAACTTTCATTTGTTGTATTCTGTTGGAGATACTCTTGGGAAATCAAGAATCATATTAAAGTGGAATATGATTTAATTTATTTACTAAGATGAAGGTAGCAATTAATTAATGATGAAGGATAAAGGAGTAATCTGGATTTAAGCATTGCTTGAGGTTTTTTCATTTATTGAAAAGTCTTTGTAGATCTTTTGTCCATCATTTTAATCAATAAAATACACTATAAAACTTTCCTATTGACACAAACACTGTTCAAATCCATAAATAAGCAATGACTGATATCCAAACACTGATACGTTGTGTTTTGCAACGACACAACGAATCTTCTTTTGTAGCTCTTAATTCTTTTTCAGTCTTTTCCTGCCATTCTGAAAACCTTCCCTGTACTCTACTGGGATTTTATGTTACAGGTCAAGACAAACTAAATAAAAAAAAAAAATCAAATCAAATCAAATCAAACAACAGCAGATCTTTGATGTCTTGTGGTGCTAAACTGTTTGGTGATTTGTAAACTAACAACAGTATTTTAAAATCTATTCTTTGAGCTACAGGGAGCCAGTGGAGGGACTTTAAAATTGGTGTTATGTGCTCTATCTTCCTAGTTTTAGTGAGAACGCGAGCAGCAGTGTTCTGGATCATCTGCAGCTGTTTGATTGATTTGTTGGACAGGCCTGTGAAGATGCTGTTACAATAATCAATGCGACTAAAAATAAACGCATGGATGAGTTTCTCTAGATCTGGCTGAGACCTTAGTCCTCTAATACTGGAGATGTTCTTCAGGTGATAGAAGGCCGACTTTTTAATCGTCTTTATGTGGCTCTGAAGGTTCAGGTCAGAGTCCATCACTACTCCCAGGTTTTGGGCCTGATCGCTAGTTTTTAGTTGTAATACCTGAAGCTGTTCATTGACTTTAGATCGTTCCTCTTTAGGTCCAAAAATAATGACTTCAGTTTTGTTTCTGTTCAGCTGAAGAAAGTTTTGGCACATCCACACATTTATCTGTTCTAAACATTTATTCAGTGACTGGATGGGGTCAAAGGTCACCTGGTGACATCGTAATGTAGAGCTGTGTGTCATCCGCATTGTTATGGTAGCTAATACTATTTCCTGTTATAACCTGGGCTAGTGGGAGAATATAAATATTGAATTAGAGGGGTCCTAGGATTGAACCTTGGGGTACCCCACATGTGACCTTTGACCTCTTTGATGAGAAGTTTCCAATTGAAACAAAGAAATCTCTGTTTTTTATGTAAAATTCAAGCCAGTCGACCACAGAATCGGAGAGTCCAACCCAACTCTCCAGTCGATTCAGTAATATGTCATGGTCGACAGTGTCAAAAGCTGCACTGAGGTCCAACAGAACCAGCACTGTGGTTCTGCCACAGTCCGTATTTATATGAATATCATTGAATACTTTTACGAGGGCAGTCTCCGTGCTGTGGTGAGCACGAAAACCAGACTGGAAAGAGTCAAAGCAGTTGGTCATCATGAGGAAACTATTTGTTTACACACAGTTTTTTCAATAACTTTGCTGATGAATGGGAGGTTTGAGATCGGCCTGTAATTCTGCAATAGTGATTTGTCCAGGTTGTTCTTTTTTAGCAGTGGTTTGATGACCGCTGTTTCACACCTGATGTGAGTGATGAGTTTACTATTTGGATGAGATGAGTAGCAATAACAGGCAGGACTTTCTCAAAGAAATGTCTGGGTAGGACATTCAGACAGCAGGAGGTTGAACTTAATTGACTTATAATTTCTTAGGGTGTAATAATTAAGTAGTGCAACATTGTGGCATAATTATCTGGATTTGTATTCAAACCCTTTTATTCTCATTTTCCTAAATGCTTTCCAGTGCAACTAACAGCTTTCAGGAACACAGCTGTTCTATAGATAATACATTGACTTGTTAGAGATCTTAAACAAATTTAAAGCACTACAAAGACCAAGCAACAAAGAAGACAGGACAGACATAAAATCATTTGAGTTTAAAGCAGCCTTAGATGATGCAACAGCATGCTAACCCTCAAAAATCTCATACAGGATTTCAGTGTCAAGTTATAATTGATGATGAATTATAACCTGAACATTAATGTAATCAATTTGAACATATCCATTGTGAGTGAAACTTGATAATTGCTGAATCATGGAATGCTCTTTTTATAAGTGATGACTAGCAAGTTGATAATAGTCCACGGGAAGATGGATGGCGTTGGGATAAATACTCAACAAAAGACTGGAATTGATTTTTTAGTTTCCAGTATGAAAATGACCCTAAACATACAGCTTTAAGATGAAACAAAGTAAGCAAATCATGATCAAGTTCAGACTTTTGAAGCAAACTGTATGCACTTAATTTTATGTGGGGGTATTTCACAAAAGTCCTGTACTTTTTTAGGACTGCAATAACACCCAAAGGAAAATTGAAACTAGTCCATAAAACAGAGCTCAGCTTAAAACCTATGTCAAGGAAGGATGTCTCTAATATGGTTTCTTGGTAATTTCCATGCTAACCGTGGGATTGCCACACAGTTGGCGTAATTGAACTGAACCCTCCTCTTCCTACTTATTGAAACAGTGTGAGTTTTTCTAGAGCACTACAGAAGCAGCTGTTGGGAACCCGTTTTCTCTTCCTGTCTCCGTCTCTCTGTGTCTCTCGCTCTCTTTTGTGGGCGGGGGAGTTCCTTCTGCAGAGGAGCTGGGTGATTGGCAGCTCCATATGTGTCTGTGTAATTACGGCTAGGCTAATTGGCAGAGAGGAACACTGAGACATTGTCATTACTGACACACCAGGACAGCCCCTCGCACTTGCAGATGGAGATGGAGGTGGCCCTTTTCACAGAAGGAGGCATGCAGCAATGGGAGAAGACTGTTTCTGTGGAGGTGTCCTTGTGTATGTGTACAGAAGGGGAACAAGGGATGGAAAAACCAAAAGCATCTGCTTTAAGTTGTTTGACCTACTCTGTTGTCAAAAAGCCAAAATATGAGTTACATTTAGAGTTTCATGTTTTCTGCTGTACTTCTGTCTCTAATATGAAGCTGGTTTTATGCAGGTTTTTAATTCTGAATCACATGCTTTTGTTGTTTCTTCTGCTTCCCCCCCCCCCAGAAATAGACAGGATTTTAAGTCCTGTCTCAGTTAGTAACTGTTGCAGGACTTCACATATATGCAGCTGGCAGTGATAGCAAAGGCAGATGGTGATTTAGACATCATTAGAAATGTTTAAAGAAGCTATCAGCAGAAGGTGGAAAGCAGGTTGAATGTTTTCATTTTCAAAGTTATTTGCTGAGGTATTCATACCACATAAACTTTCTCCCAGTTTGTCACATTGCAACCATCACAACTTGATGTGATGCCTGATCTTGTGCAAAGTTTTTTCTTTTAAGAAAAAATACTTACGTGTGACTTCTTTTTCTCTTCTTTTGCTCTTTACATCATATTCCTTGGAAACATCTGCTAATTTCTTTGATTTAGAAAATGTACTTCTTTATCCCATCAGCTATCAGATATCTTTTTACGGCAACTGCAAGAATGCACATAAATAGCACTGTCAGTGAAAAATTAAAAAAATGACACCTTGGAAGAGAAGAAGAATAGGATAAAGGAGGGTTGGAAACTGTGTAACAAAAATCTCAACTATGGGAATCTTGCATGTTACCTCATTTTTGTCTGATAACTATCCTGGATAAATCTGTTATGTCATGAATTCTGCTATGATTGTGTGGTGACATTGTCAAGCACCAATATGTTTGGTGTCAATTCATCACACTGAATTGTAAAAGCTGAATAAGATGAGCTATAACGTTTTAGTGAAACTGTTATGGAATTTTTTGTGGACAAAAAATGTGAGATTGGGAATAATCCTGTAACCTACTGATGCAATTTTGCTCTAAAATACAACACATGCAACAGGTAGTTCACAAAACTGATGGCACCAAAGCACTCCCATTGTTAAAACAGAAATACTGGAGAATTGTAAGGAAATAATGCACTGGAGCAAATAAAGATCAAGAGCAGTGGAGCGAAAGACAGACACTGTCAAACCTAGAGTCACAAGAGACAATTCAACTCTTTAGTTAATGTCAGTAATTGGGTAGAAAACTCAGTCATTGGCTTCTATTCAAGAACATCCAATTAAATGTCATTAACCCAAGCCTTTCTGTGCTTTTTCCTGTGGTTCAGAGTCATCTGTCAGGAACCAGCTATTGAGCACTCTGCTGAAGATGATTCATTCGGGAAATGCTTTCATTGGCTTTATGTTTGGATTAGTGGCTGCAACAAATACAATTATTCCTCAAAAAGTAAACCAGTAATTCCAAAGAGGCAATAACAATGATGGTGGTGTTCAGATAATGAATCATAAATAAAGGTTGACCGATGACACGTGAAAAGGATCTCATCGACTCATGTTTCAAATATACGTCATGCTAACCAGAATTAAGGTGGGGGTAGTAGTTGATAGATTGCTT